TGTGTGTGTGTGTGTGTGTGTGTGTGTGTGTGTGTGTGTGTGTGTGTTCTGGAAACTACCTAACTTCCCTGTGTGGGTGCTCTCACTCCCTCAATGCTCTGAGCATGTGTCAGGTTACACCTGTGTATGTGCTCGGACAACACTCATCTTTAAGCCTTTAAGGCCCCCACCCTGCTTACATCAGCTCTTTCCACACACACACAGACTTCACTTTACTCAGATACACATACATTATTATTATCAGTTTTACATTTGTTAAATCACTTCATAATTCTACGTACTACACACTTGCATTAATATGATTATTAGATTTCATCCTTTAACTATAAGTATACGCTTTATGTCCCCTTAGCCTGATTCACATACCGAACATGTATTCCTTCATTTAAGGCAGCTCTCCTGGGATCTCAACTCTCTTTTTTGACACGTTTTCGCCATTTGTGGGTAGTGGCTCTCACTGTGGTTCGCTGGAGTCCCAAAGCTTTAGAAATGGCTTTGTAACCTTTTCCAGACAGATAGATCTCAATTACTTTGTTTCTCATTTGTTCCTGAATTTCTTTGGATCGCAGCATGATGTCTAGCTTTTGAGGATCTTTTGGTCGACCTCACTTTGTCAGGCAGGTCCTATTTAAGTGATTTCATGATTGAGAACAGGTGTGGCAGTAATCGGGCCTGGGTGAGGCTAGAGAAATTGAACTCAGCTTTCCAAAGATGTGATAAACCACAGTTAATTTATGTTTTAACAGGGGGGGGCAATCACTTTTTCACACAGGGCCATGTAGGTTTGGATTTTTTTTCCCCCTTAATAATAAAAACCTTCATTTAAAAACTGCATTTTGTGTTTACTTGTGTTATCTTTGTCTAATATTTAAATTTGTTTGATGATCTGAAACATTTAAGTGTGACAAACATGCAAAAAAATAAATCAGGAAGGGGGCAAACACTTTTTCACACAACTGTGTGTGTGTGTGTGTGTGTGTGTGTGTGTATATCTATCTATCGAACGCAACAGGTGCCCACAGTAATTAACCAAACAATAGAAAATAATATAACTAAACAAATTACTATGAAAGAGAAAAAAACAATCTTAATATATCAAACATCTACAATAAATAACAAAATACAATATCAAAAAAATAGCTCCAACACTAATATTTCTTTGTAACGTCGCTGTGTGTGTTTACTGTTTTCCTGCAGACGTCCAGCAGCTGTTGGTGGTTAAAGAAGAGGTTCCCCCTGAGCAGCAGGAGTGGAGCTCCAGTCTGGACCAGGAGGACCCAGAGCCCCCACACATTAAGGAACAGGAGGACCCAGAGCCCCCACACATTAAGGAACAGGAGGACCCAGAGCCCCCACACATTAAGGAACAGGAGGACCCAGAGCCCCCACACATTAAAGAGGACCCAGAGCCCCCACACATTAAAGACGAACAGGAGGACCAAGAGCCCCCACACATTAAAGAGGAACAGGAGGGAGAGCAGCTTCAAGGTCTGGAGGAGGCTGATGTCAAGCTCTCATTCACTCCTGTGAAGAGTGAGGATGACGAAGAGGAAGCTCAGTCCTCAGAGCTTCATCAAAGACAAACTGAACTGATGGAAACAGAAACTGATGGAGAGGACTGTGGAGGACCAGAATCAGACAGGAACTTAGATCCAGAGAGACATCCAGAACCAGATACTGATGACAAGACTGGAGACTCTTCTGACAGTGATGCTTGGAAGGAGACCAGAGAACCTCAGTCAGGTTTAAACTCTGTGAAACCTGATGACGTCCTTGTCAGTGATTCAAGATGTAGTGCTGGTGAGAAACGATTTAGATGCTCCGAGTGTGAGAAAACATTTGGCAGGAATGGAATTCTGAAGAGACACATGAGAATCCACACAGGAGAGAGACCTTACAGCTGCTCAGTTTGTAAGAAATCTTTTGTATATAAACAGGTTTTACAGGAACACATGAGAATCCACACAGGAGAGAAACCTTACAGCTGCTCAGTTTGTAAGAAATCTTTTGTATATAAACGGGTTTTACAGGAACACATGAGAATCCACACAGGACAGAAATCTTTCAGCTGCTCAGTTTGTCAGAAAAGTTTCCTTAGAAATGGAGATCTGAAGACACACATGAGAATCCACACAGGAGAGAAACCTTTCAGCTGCTCAGTCTGTAATAAGTCTTTTGCATTTAAACAGGTTTTAAAGCAACACCTGAGAATCCACACAGGAGAGAAACCTTTCAGCTGCTCAGTTTGTAAGAAATCTTTTAACCTTCGTTCAAATTTACAGAGTCACATGAGAATCCACACAGGAGAGAAATCTTTCAGCTGCTCAGTTTGTCAGAAAAGTTTCCTTAGAAATGGAGATCTGAAGACACACATGAGAATCCACACAGGACAAAAACCTTTCAGCTGCTCAGTTTGTAAGAAAAGTTTCCTGAGAAGTGGAGATCTGAATACACACATGAGAATCCACACAGGACAAAAACCTTTCAGCTGCTCAGTTTGTAAGAAAAGTTTCCTTAGAAGTGGAGATCTGAAGACACACATGAGAATCCACACAGGAGAGAAACCTTTCAGCTGCTCAGTTTGTGATAAAAGATTTAAGCGCAACAGAGATCTAAAGGTACACATGAAAAGTCACACAGGAAAGAATCCCCTTTAGCCTTTTTACCCAATCAGCCCTCCACATATCCCTTCCAGCGGTGGGCCCATAGGGCGGCTGCTCAATGTCGATTTTTCGAGTTGTTCCTGGTCGAACCATATGTCTCATGTCCCAGAAACCAGACCCTCACCAGCAGTAATATGCTTTTTGTTTCTTTCATTGTTTAATCTAAATGATTGATTTGAAGGGTAAATATGGAGACAAGTGTATTGGCGTACAGATGAGTATATGTATGTGTGTTTGAGGCATCATGTCTTGAAATAAATCCTTGTATTTTAGTTTATATTGATAAATATTTGATTGTTATTTTCTATGTAAAAATGTTTTGCTTTCCATCTCAATAAAAAGAGAATAATAAAACAAA